TGCCATAGAGCAGGTGCAATTCCCCAGCGTGGCGGTTCCAGGAGAGGCAGAAATGGTAGAGGCCCCTGGGGTCGGGGAAGAAGTGGGAAGCCCCAGGGACTCCAGGGAAGGGGGCGTGGACTGTGAGGGCCTCCTCCGAGTTCTCGACGGAGATGCGCAGCTGTGTCCACCGCTCATAACGGAGGCTGCTCTTCTGCGTCTGGTTCCGCTGGCCGCAGAAGCGGAAGTCCTCCCGGAAGCCCCCAGCCTGGGCACCTGAGGAGGCAGACACTGCAGATGGGACTCTGGGGCAGGGGCCGTGGGCGGGGCAGGCCCGGGGACCAGAACACAGGGGCCCAGTATCTGGGACCCACACACATTTCAAAGGTCAGCACCTCAGAGGGCCTACAAAAAATGTGAGTGACCTTGCTCAAAAATCATTGGCTTCAAAATATGAAAAGAAGGAACTCAAAAGTCATCATTTCTAAGGCAAAGCATTTTAAAATAGCAATTGGGTATCTGATGAGGCCATGGTGCTACAGACAGGTTTTTGGGCATTGCACAAGGAAGCTCTGGCTCCAGAGTGAGTGGGGCAGAAACCCAGTCCGTGATCCCCACCCCAAGCTGTGCATCGGCAAACAACATCTGCCAGAGAAAAGGGGATGCCCTGCCCTGGCCGGTGTGGCTCAGTTGTTTGGGGGTTGTCCCATGCTCCAAAAAATAGCTGGTTCCATTCCCAGCCAGCTCACATGCCTGGGTTGCAGGCTCAGTCCCTGGTAGGGGGCATGCAGGAGGCAGCCGATCGATGTTTCTCTCTTCTCCCTTCCTCTCTCTAAAAATCAATAAACTATTCTTAAAAAAAAAAAGGGGGGGGGACCTTCCTCTTTTCTCAAAGGTACCATCTCCTTGCTCAGCTGTGTCTGTAGGCCTGTGCCTGCCCAAGGGCTTAGGGGTGCACTGGCCGCTGGCCTAGGCATGGGGGCCTTTGATGCCAGTCCCAGCCGTCCCAGGAGAGCCTACCTTGAACCAGGAGCAGCAGACCCAGCAGCAGCGGCCCCGTCTGCACCTGCACTGGGGCAGCCATCTTCCGCCTTAGGAGTCACCCTGGGAAGTCACTGCCTGAAAGACAGCAGGGGTGTTAGCCAGGGGCCTGACCCACAGGGAGGCTGAGCCACCTGCAGAGGGGAGGCCGTGTAGCACGGGGGTGTGAGGTGGGGAGGCCTTGGTTTGAGCCTCATGGTCCCTTTCCGGACTCATGCGGCGGCCTCTATCTGGGCCACCTCTGATCTTTCCCTCCCACTGCAGGCATTCTCCTCAAAAGGCCGTCTCCGCTCACACTCCTCTGCTACAAAACCTCCTCTGCTCGCCCAGGTTTCATCATCAAATCAAAATACTTCAGCTTGGCATTCGCACGCCGGACACCCTACACTCCAGCCCCTCTGACCGGTGTCCTCGGAGGTGTGGCTTCCTCTTCAGAGAAGCCCTTCTGCCTCCTGTCTGCTTGGTAACCACTTACTTGCCCTTTAAGAGCCAGCTCAGCCCTGGCCGGCATGGTTCAATGGATGAGCATCCACCTATGAACCAGGAGGCCAGGGTTCGATTCCCAGTCAGGGCACATGCCCGGGTTATGGGCTCGAACCCCAGTGTGGGGCGTGCAGGAGGCAGCCGATCCATGATTCTTTCTCATCATTGATGTTTCTATCTCTCTCTCCCTTCCTCTCTGAAATCAATTTTTTAAAAAAATATTTTATTTTTGTAAAAAACAGGCTGTGGCTGACCAGAGCCCGACCAAGTTCAAGACCTGGCCGCACCTCTTGCTTGCCACAGGACCCTGTAGACGTCACAGAAAACGGGGCCCTCTGGACCCAGCAGGGCAAGGCTGGGGTCATCTTCGCTAGGATCTGGTGGGGAAGGCTCCACAGCGCCACCTGGAAGCGCCTCAGGAGAAAGGGGGCTCTCAGAGTCCTCCCCAGGAAGCTCACCATTCCCACCACCAACACCCAGCTCAGAGGACACCTCCTCCAGGCAGCCTTCCTCCAATCCCTCTGCTGGCGGTCCTGGCCTCCTTTGGTTCCCACCACTGGCCAGGGCGCCCCCTTTACTAGCCTCCCAGGAGGTGCAGGATGGTGCACGCCCTCCTCAGCCCGCCAGGGAGCTCCCTCCCAATCCATCTCTGTGGACAGCGGAGAGCCGGGAGGTGGGGTGAACAAGTGAAAGGAGAGTGAAGAATCAGCGCGTCCATGGCGCCCTCTACAGGGGCCAGAGGGGAAGGGTGCTTCCCATCGTGACCACAAGGGGGAGCCAGTTTCCAGGACTCTGAGTGTCTGTCCCAATCTGAAGGGGAGACACTCAACCTTATGGCTCAAGTGGGGGGTGGCCCAACTACTCTCACCTCCACCTCCACCCCGGGGTGGAGGGGGCACTTCTGACCCCCCATGGCCTCTATTAGCTGAGCACCTACTCTCTGCCAGCCTGTGCTGGCCCACCCCACCCTCGTACCTATATTAATCCTCTCCAACCCTGTGACGTGGGCCGTACTGAGGTCCAGGGGGTTAAGTGACTTGCCCAGAAGCCAGGAGTTCTTCCTGCCTGGTCAGAACTGTGGTGCCTGGCAGAGAACCTGTGTGCCTGGCACGCATAGAGAGATGCCAGGTGGCTTGGTCTTTGCCGCTGCCATTTGGCCCTCTGACCAAGTTGGGTGGTGCCAGACACAGACAGGCACCCTCATCCTGTGGGGAACTGCATATGGTCACGGTGACAGATGCAATCACCTGCCACAGGCCAGACGAAGGGAAGCCTGGCAACCTAGGGGCACGGGAGGAGTGAGAGTTTGGTGGAAACCAAGGAGGGCTTCCAGGAAGAGGTGGCATTTAAATGGCCTAGTTAAGGGTAGTGTTAAAGGGAGGGGTGACCCAGGCAAGAGCTCATTGTCTCCTGCTTGGGCTGTGCCTTCCTCGAACTAACCTGCCCCCCCCTTCAAGTAACAACTAGTCTTCAGAAATGGATTGGGAGGGAGCTCCCTGGCGGGCTGAGGAGGGCGTGCACCATCCTGCACCTCCTGGGAGGCTAGTAAAGGGCGCCCTGGCCAGTGGTGGGAACCACTGTGTAATGGAACCCTAATTTCTTGGGCCTCATCAGTCCCATCATTGGTCAATCGGGCTCATCATCCTGCTCTGGTGGCATCACAGGACCCCTTAGAAGACGGATGTGAAAGTGTTTTGGGGAACGGCCACTGTTTCCTAGGTTGTGATTTTTAAGGTTTCACTCTGTGGCCGCTCTGAACATTTTGACCCCTTTTGAAACTGCCTTCTGCCACCCAGACCAGAGGAAGGAAACGCAGCATCCAGGACAGAAATAAGTCCCTCCTGCCCCCACCCCCACCCCCCACCCCCGCTTCCTTCTCCTCTCCGCCAGCCTCTGTCGCTGTCTACCTCTCACTCCCTATCCAGATGTCACCTCTTCCAGGCAGCCTCCCTTGCTGTGACCGCTGCTTTATGCTGTGAACTCGTAGTTCGCACATCACTTTGAGAATGTGGCCCAAATTCTCCATGTTATGGCATTTATTTTATTCTAGTTTAAATGTATCTTTATTGTTGAAAGTATTACAGATGTTCCCCTTGCCCCCCCCCCATTGACCCCCTTCACCCCGACCACGTTGTGGCTCTTAGATTTGAGGCCTAGAGAGGGCCAAGGACTGCCTGACTTCGCACAGCAGGTGAGGGTGGAGCTGGCCGGCAGGCAGGCGTCGCTCTGGCACACTGACCTTCGAAGTGAGCAACCACTGTCCCTAGACTAGGTCCCAGGACAGGGCGCAGTTTCCTCTTTGTAAATAGCACTAAAAATCGAGCCTACCTCAGCGGTCATTGCAAGAATTAAATGAGTTGATGGCCGTAAAGGATGTAGAACAGGGCCATGTGTGCGGGAGAAGCCACCTGTGTCAGCTAAATATCTCTGTATATGCCCAGCCGGCGTGGCTCGGGGGTTGAACATTGACATATGAACGAGGAGGTCACGGTTCGATTCCCGGGCAGGGCACATGGCTGGGTTGCGGGCTCGATCCCCAGTCGGGGGCGTGCAGCAGGCAGCAAATCAATGATTCTCTCTCATCATTGATGTTTCTATCTCTCTCCATCTCCCTTCTTCTCTGAAATAAACAGCCTCCTGGCCCCAGCCCGTGTCCGTGGCCTCCGCAGCCCCGTGCTGGGAAATTCTCAGAGCGTGAAGCTTCCTTCCCGGAGCACAACGGGAAGACCGAAACCTCACCCAGAAAAGTCCCTCTTCCCAGCCGGACCTGAGGCTGCCTGCAGAACCCGGGGGACAGGAGATCTGATGGGACCGGAGAAGACCCAACCCAGATCGGGCAGGGGGAGGGCACATCTGCCACCCCACGCTGCCCACTTGGCAGTACAGTGAGTTCCCATGATGCAGGCCACACACTCCAGCACCTCCAGGATGCCCTGGTCCCCACCCCACGTGCCCCCACCCGGCTCATCAGGAATGAGGGGGGTCTGTGCTCTGCAGGCTGAACCCCATACATGAACCTCCACATGGGCCGCGTGGCCAGAACCTTGTCCCTGGTCTCTGGATCTGGGGACCCACAGAGCTGGACAAGCCTCAGCCATCAAATACTCTTAGAGCCAACCAACCGCTGGTCCCCAGGCCAGACCCTTGTCTACCCTCACACAGCACTGGCCAGGCTCGATGGTAACAGCAGAGCACCCTCTACACTAGCCCATGAAATCCCCCGAGCCACCTGGCGAGGCTGGTCCCACTGCTTGGCCATTTTGCAGATGAGGAAACTGAGGCTAGAGAAGGCTATCTGTTCCATGATCACCACGGGGGGAGTCAAGACGGGGCCCTGGGTCTCGCTCTAGAGAACTCTTAGCAGACAAAGCTCCCCAGATTGCACATGCCCTTGGCGTGGAAGACCCCCAAAGCAAAGGAGAGAAAGTGGGGGGCAGTAGAGGCAGTGCAGAGAACTCCAGCCTGGGAGAGAGGGTTTGGGGGCCAAGCCTCTTGGGGAGCCCCCACCCCCCAGCTCCCCTCCCAGAACAACTGTCCCTAACCTCAGACTTTTCCTAAACACACGCAGAGAGCAGAACAGTTAGGTCTAGCCTGACACAATGGGGGCCACCGTCACGGGGTCCCCCAGGATCCAGGAGGAGCAGCGGGTACCCAGGACTTGTCTGGGCCAGGAGAGGGGCTCAGGCTCCGGCTCCAGCTCAGGCCCAGCCTTG